GATATCAGGTTACAAATTAATTATAAACCATTTCATGCCACGTCAAGGTTAGTTCAAGGACTGGGATCCCAGTTCAGTAAATTGTCGTTCACAAATTAAACTGAGGCTTAAAATCCGTAGATATTGCTTTGAATGTATTCAATTTGAATTAACCTACAAGAAAATAGAGTAAGTTACAAATCTTCTAGCATCATTCGTCTCACTATTTATTGAATATCATTCCATTGGACCTCGCTTGCATGCCCGGCAAAATTGTCAGCAGTTGATAGTCAACCCCTCTACCACATTCGAGTAGATGATTAAGAGTATTCTCCTCTTCGTTGCAATATACGCGTACCCTCTCTTTCCTATCCTCTTCAGTAGCTGTCAAATCAACTATGTCATGTGAGGAACTGTGTAGTATAGTAATCTATCCGCACGGCTCCGTTGTCAATACAAGTTGCATGCCATATATCCTGTCGTCTGACAAACGCGCCTCTTGCTTCGGCGCCTTTTTATAGAGTGCGCATCTCTATCCAGCAAATGAATCGGCGGAATTCCAGCCACCACCAGCAGTGGGTCGGTCGACACTGTTCTGAAAGCGCAGCACCACTGTTTGTTGGCTTCTGAGTACCAGTTGTCTATATTTCCTTTTCCTCAAGGCCTTATTATAGATAGAGGCTCCCAACAGCATAATAAGGTTGGCCACCCCTGCCATAAGCGTACGCCTGTCATTAATGGGGCTTCCATTAGATGACATTACCCGTATCAAGGATGCAACGAATTCATTTGCCGTATCAGTGATACGCATTATAAGTTGTCATTTTCAAATATTTGTCGAGCCAGACAACCAGGTACTTAATTGAAATTTGTCTTCGAATCTCGGCGTTATAAACCTTAACGGCTGATGATGTTAGCTTGTGTCTGCCGAAAAGTATATCCACTTCCGTTTTCTTAGGAGCTAATTTCAGGCCATTTCCTTCCATCCAGATGGGAATTCTCATTATCCCATATGCTAAATCTTTTCTAGTGTAACTCTCTTTGCTAGTGATTATCATCCCCAGGTCGTCAATATACCCTATGAGGCGAATTCCGGGAAGTATCTGTTATCGAACAATCATATAGTTGAGCACGATCCAAAGCAACGGCCCTAGGGCGGAGCCCTGCGGCACTCCCACTTCACCGTGTCTTATCCTACCATAAGCGTTGTCTCGTAGCTCTTTATGATCTTCAATATACTGAGAGTGCCTAACTTTTCGAGAGATCCGATGATTTTCTGCTATGGTGCCGTGAGTTGAAGGCATTCTTAACGTCAAAAGGCAACCATAATGCAAAGCTTCTTAAGGCTGTAGCAGCCGCTGTTTCTGTGACCATATTTGGTCTAGATTAAACCTTTAAGCGGATAGTGAGAGTGAAAGAACAACTGGACCCCTATTCTTGAAAATGAGGAAGTAGAATCACTGAGACTAAGTGGGCGAGGTTCTCTTCCCTGAGCTTGTCTTTCTCTCTCTTCTATAAGTGTTCGGGAATACAGTTTCCCCAGGTAATAGAACCAAGCCCACATTCTCTGTTATTCTAGTCCCTTCTAAGATCATTGAGCTAGGCGAATGGGACTCCATTAAGAACATTTCATGATATTGGAATTTGTGAACTCCGAAACAACGAAAATCATAAGGAACGTTCCTATGGCAAAGTGCTTGAAAGCAAATCTAGATCTAAGGATGGTCTGATTTAGTCTGGATTCACCATTAAATTCCAAATTTCAAACAAATGAGAACTGTCTACACGTAGATAATGGTTGATTTTACAAGACAGATCTTTCCATCACACATTTGTTAGATTTGCGATCACCATTGTCTGAAAACTTAACCTTTCGCTTCAGAGGGGTTTTTCTCATGCTTTCTACAGAATCAGCAGTTACTGCTTTTTGCAAGGCCCACCGTTATATCAGGCGGAGACCTACGATAACCTTTGTGGCCTTTCTGATGCATCTAAGCAGATGTTCTGTGCGGGTTTTGTTCTTTAATGAACACTTTTGCTTGCCCCTAACCTGATTGATTTTTCTTAATACCGACTACCTCAAGCGAGCTGTATACTCTACAGCATTGCTCTGGGCTTATTAGGAATTTTAACTTTATAATAAAAAACATATCTCCGTAACCACAGCCCTTGGATCATTATGGTTTTCACTAAAAATCATTACCCGGTTCGTGTACTAAACACCTATATTCACTTTCACGTTTGTTCGTTAATTTGATGAATAAATATCATTATTATTATTCTATCTGGTCAGGTTAGCTCCAAGTTAGGACTTTCTCAATTTGATCTAGTAACTTAGTAATTCGTAAATGAACTAAATTACTTTAAATATCACCTGACACTGGGATGAACCTCATGATACCACACAAAAGGTGATCGATATTTTGCGTTGATATCTACCCAACAGTCAACATTATAGAATAAACATTTTATGTATGTACAATACCTTACTGTTAGAATTACTGTTGTCGAAGTAACTTTGGACTTTTCCAAACGAAAACTTAGACATTTGTATAGAACACAAATAGCAAACTATTTAGAAACAGTAGAAACTGCCTCATACCCATTCTAAACGTCTTACTCACACATCCAAATAGAAACTAATAACAATAAAATATATTTCTAGTTCAATACTGTTAATATGACCATAGCTGAAAAGATATGATACAAACAAAAAATGATCTGTATTCAATAATGTCGAGTATTACATAAAAATCCATATTAAACTTTTATTATTGTATTCTATAGTTTCATCACGTACGAGATTTATGAAGTAATAATCATATGAGTTGTTCCATTATATAACATTTTACATTAAACATATGTATGTATAAAGAATGTACAGTAGCCTTACCTTTTATTATGGACAATACACTGTTGAAATATTTTCTTCTCACTTTTATTAATAAGTGATGAAATAATTTTAATCACCTAATATAATCATCATCTAAAAAATTATTATAAAGACATAAAAACTTGATAGTTTTACCATTATTTGAAAAATAATACAAAATATGAACAGTGTTGTAGATAGAGTCAATGAAATACATAAGTTATGATATTTGAACTAAACTGAATAGTAATAAAAGCATTATGTGAAAAAAAACAAATACTTACCTTTCTTTCCAGTGTAAAGTGAATTTTGACATTCTACCTTTTTATGAACATAAGTAACTATTCACCTGCACCTTCGTCGGTTTTTATACAAAAATTACACTTACATGCGCATACTTCTTGTTCGAATGCAATTAGATGTATAAAGACTATTGCCGGTAGACTACACCATATAAAAGTGCATAATATAATTGGAAATGTTGAATTACGAAATTACACTATAAATAATATCCTATATATTCACATGTATTTTTATTTCAACACATTTTAATACAGAGAAAAGTACGCCAAAATACAAGGTAGTAACTGATATAATAATATGTATCTTCTTCTCAGAGTACTAAATTCGTTATTGAACTTTGACGATCATGTTGGCATCATTATTCTTTTTACTGCAGCCCTGAAGAGCGATCTTGATGTCCGAACAAACCATATATAATAAAGCAAAAATAAAAATACCAAAACCTATATAAATACCTCTATTTTTTATAATATGCACAAAATCTATTTAATCGCGAAACAATGCTGCGAACGAAAACACAAATTGAAATCTATCAAAGTGAATGAAATTTGACTCGATTGCACATGTAATTAAAATGAAAAAGTAACATCTGTTGAAAGCTTATACATTTATCACAAGCACTATCTATTATTACTCACCTTCACATCACAGTATATTGCATATTATCTCTAATATACGCATAAAATATCCACATAAAATCTTCACTTCGTAAGCCAATCCACATAAAACACAACACAATATTGTTCCTATAATATGGTTTTGTTTTCCATCTCTGTGGCCATAACCAACACTGCTTTATGCTTTTTTTGTTGCTGTCTTATTCCTATTCAATGAAAATGTAAAATCTATAACATCTGCTACTAAAAGAAAGGACATGAGAAATTTGGCACAAAGTGGCAACACCGCCGGAAGCGAATGCTAGTACTGTCAAGTTACACCGCCAGAGCCTGTGTAGTTAAAACAGTATATTACAGATACAACCATCATAGAGTTACACTTGCAAAATAACAATAAGCATGCTATATACGTATATATTAAACATACAACATAGAATACTGATATTGAAAAAATAACAAAAGTAGCAATCACTATCACACCTTAGCGCATATTGTTTTGATTTCTTGCAACGTGATATGTTTTTGACCCACATATTTTTAATGCAACATGATATAAAATCGTTGTTAGCGATAAGAAATTGAATCAATTGACGAATCTAGGAATTCCGTGCGAGGATCAAGTCGCAAAAAGGTCAGGTGATATAAGACGTATTAGAAAAGGCTATCTAGAGGTTGATAAAATAATAAATGCATGTATTGGAGATTATTTTACTTGTTTGTCATAATTATTTGGAGATTTTGAGTGCTATTAGACTTCAGTATCAAAAAGATACATTATCACTCTTAAATATTTGTTTTAATTTGTAAATGCGTTTATATGTCACCAAAATTAATGTTTGTTGTAGCCTCCACCACCTTCTATAATGCATGTTTTTATAACAAACTGTTTGGAAATACACTATTAATATGTATATGCAGTTGGATAAGATCATCTACTGATCAAAAGCTGTCATCTTATCGGTATCCCTGTAGCACAGTTAGACAGATGTAAAACTGTATCAAAGCAATTATATATTCCCCCTCCACTTTCCCAACAAAACCTGGCATGCGCACAGCAACCATTAGCTTTGTATTTGTAAAGGATATCCTCCGACAGGCGTTGTGTTTACTGTAATTAAACGCTAAACATATCTAACATATCTGATGTATGTTTGTAATTTAATTGATAATAAAACAGAGACCTTGAAGCCAGGTGCATATCAATTACGGGTAATCGACTTTCCACTCACCTCCACACCAGTAGTAAGATGTATGATGTTTTTCATGTCGTTTACATTAATTCGCGTGTCGAATATCCACACTAACGTTTTCTTTTCCAAGCACAAACGACACACTTCGGTTACATCTTCCATTTCCGGGTGACAGATGCCAGCATTCCACAACACAACGGTACACCTCACAACTGCAATCTACGCATCGACTAGCAACGTGTGACGGTCAGCTGGAAAATGAGAAGGGGAAGCGGGTCCCGCCCGTTTATAAATACGTCAAGATGGCGGGCGCGCGGTGTTGCCTAGCGCATGATCAGTCAATGCGGGGTGTGGCGAGTAATGAGTGACAAGTCTAAATATAGATGTCGTCGTGTGGAAATGACTAGAAATAATAGTATGCGAAATTCTACAATGCATTGTATGTGCACCTGAAGGGTACCAGGGAAAAACATGAATGCCACAAAAAGTAAGTTTCGAGAACAGTGGATTTAAAAGTTTGAAGACTCCTAGACTCGTTGTACAGGGTGGGTCAAAGATCTGGCGGAGTAAAAGTGCAAGCAGACTAAACATTTTTTTAATGGTAAATCCTTCTTATTTTTGTATTTTGAGATTCTCCTTATGATTTTGAACATTTTTTATGTTAGGCCCGTATCGTCAGTCGTTCCTACAATTGTAGGACGCCTTTATGGCCTCCTTGATTGTTATAGTGTCAGCGCTCTATTTTGAGGTTATGTAACAAATATCTACTTGCATCAAATTGTGCATGCTTTTGATTTATATTACTCGTTGTACAGGGTGGGTCAAAGATCTGGCGGAGGAAAAGTGCAAGCAGACTAAACATTTTTTTAATGGAAAATCCTTCTTATTTTTGTATTTTGAGATTCTCCTTATGATTTTGAACATTTTTTATGTGTTAGGCCGGTATCGTCAGTCGTTCCTACAATTGTGGGACGCCTTTATGGCCTCCTTGATTGTTATAGTGTCAGCGCTCTATTTTGAGGTTATGTTACAAATGTCTACTTGCATCAAATTGTGCATGCTTTTGATTTATATTATGTTTTAACAGCCTGAAATTTCCTACAATTTAAAAAGAAAACATCTTCACAATAGGAGAGCGCTGATTCTCACAGAACAGGTGCAATCTAGAAATTTTTTAAGGAGAAAAACTAGTATGACAATCAAGGAGGCCATAAAGGCGTCCTACAATTGTAGGAACGACTGATGATACGGCCCTTAGGGCTTTTTTGAGATATTGAGGTTAGAAATGAGCCTTTCGTCATATGCGACACCCTGTCAAATTTAGCGGTTGATTATCCAGCAAAATGTCTATCTTAGGTTTTACGATCTGTTTCAATATAAGAACTACCTTAACAAGGAATTTATTATACAGGGCCTAGAACATGAAAAAAGGTGATTTTTCAACCTCAATAGCTCAAAATCAGAAATATTTCTAAGTATTTTTATAATCGGAACAGTAAAAAAGAAAATCTTGGTATTTCAGAATTGCTATTGGGATTGAGAATGATAATCTGTTCCATTCCAACCCGAAAAAAGTTCTAGGTGGCCTTTTGATTAATAAGCCCCATATTACGATCGCACAGGAGAAGTTCTCCTCTATGGGAAGACTACAGAAAGGCATTGCAGGAGTACAAAAAGGAGATTGGAAAGGCCTCCAGAGAATCCTGGAGGTACTTCTGTCAGTCCATAAACGACATTCCTGCTATTGCGAGAATACACAGGGTCCTATGCAAAGACATTGAAGCAAGATTGGGATCTCTGCATGATCCTCGGGGGGGGGGGGAGTACTACTTCTGAGGAAGGTACTCTGAGGCTTCTGATGGATACGCACTTTCCCGGTTCCACAGTAGCGCGATCAATCACAGACTGCATGCAGTTGCGCAGTCCCTCAGGGGAGGACTGGCGCATGGCTAGGGAGATTGTCACCTTCGAAAGGACGGTATGCGCAGTAGATTCGTTTGCTCCATATAAAAGTCCAGGTCTGGACGGCGTATTTCCGGCCATGTTACAGCAGGGACGGAGTTCGGATGTTCCTCACCTGTTGAATGTGTTTCGAGCATGTGTGGCCAGGGGTTTAACACCTAGAAGCTGGCGGCAGGCCCTGAACCGGGCAGAGCTAGATATACTGGCCCGAAGGATTTTCGTCCGATTACTCTTTCATCTTTTGTGCTGAAGACACTGGAAAGGATAGTTGATAGATACTTAAGGGATGGCCCGCTGGAAAGGTGTGTCATTCATGCAAATCAGTTTGCATACCAAGCTGGAAAATCGACTGATCTGGACTTACACAATCTGGTCGGTAGGCTGGAGAAGACTCTAGATCAGCGAGAAGTGGCACTCGTGGTCTTTTTTCACATTGAAGGTGCATTTAATTGCACGGGGTTGGATCAATCCTAATGGATTGCGTCCTATCTACTCTGGAGGGTCGGGTAGCAACAGCTATGCTGAATGACGTAAGCTGCAGCGCAAGCGTAGCTAGAGGCTGCCCTCAGGGCGGAGTTCTGTCACCCCTACTGTGGGGTATCGTGGTGAACGAAGTCCTCGTGAGGCTCAGCAGTATGGGTGTCTAGGTGCAAGCTTATGCTGATGACGTAAGCATAGTAGTTAGAGGGCGTTTCTGTAGAACAGTCTCGGAGATTATGCAGGGCACTCCGCGCTCTTTGGAATCGTGGTGTAGGGAAGTCGATCTTTCTGTTAATGCTGAAAAGACCGAGCTGATCCTATTCACTAGGAGAAGAAGGCTTGATGGGCTGGTCATGCCGACCTTCTTTGGGATTAGATTAATATTGTCCCAGTCAATGAAATATCTGGGAATTATCCTGGATTGCAAACTGAACTGGAGGGAGCATGTTGAATACAAGGTTAGCAAGGCTCGCAATTCGATGTGGGCCTGAAGACGAGTTGTGGGTGTAAGGTAGGGGCTTAAACCCAAAGTGGTATACTGGCTCTACACGAAGATAGTACGTCCATCTCTCTTGTACGGCTCCCTGGTCTGGTGGCCTTGTATTAGAACTGAGACAACTAAGGCCAAACTCAATAAAATTCAGCGTTTGGCCTGTATTAGTATTACGAGCGCAGTGCGAACAACGCCATTGAGTGCAATGGAAGCTCTGTTGGATCTCCCACCGTTGGATCTGGTGATCCGCGGTGAAGCGAGAGTAGTCACTCATCGACTGTGGAGTGAGGGCAGCTGGGCTTTCTTGAACCCTATCAAGGGGCATACTGCCATCTTAGTCGAATTGCAAAGGGAGGACCCTGTCCTTCTAAGCAGGGGTGATCGTATTACCCCTAAATATCGCTTCAACCGCAAGTTTATTGTGGAGTATCCAACCAGGGAGGAGTGGGACGCCGGTAGCCGAGGACTCTCCAGAGTGAGTGGGCAGGTCTGGTATACGGACGGCTCGGTCACCGAAGAGGGCTCAGGTGCTGGGGTCTCTGGGTCTAGAACTAGGCTATCTCTGCCTCTCGGTGGATACACCACTATTTGCCAGGCGGAAATCTTTGCGATTCTGGCTTGTGTATCTCACATTCTGGAGAAGGGTGGGGCTAGGAGAAGAATAAGAATCTTATCCGACAACCAGGCTGCAATGAAAGCCTGTAAGATTACTTCGAGTCTTGTATTGCAATGCAGGATAAGGGGCAATGAGACGGCGGACACTCTGGCGAAGACAGGATCAGCCAGCAAGCTCGTTGGTCCTCAGCCAGCTCTAGGAGTATCCGCGTATAAAGCTAGGAGGAAAATGGAGACGTGGGTTGCAAGACAACACTCTCAGAAATGGAGAAGTATCTCCAGACATCTCCGCCAGGCACGGGAACTCATTGAAGGGCCCAGTGCTAAGTATGGACGCTTCTGCCTATTTCTGGATAGAGCCAACCTAAGGTTGCTGGTGGGACTGTTGTTTGGCCGTAACACGTTAAGGCGTCATCTGCATGTGAAAACGGCGAGGCTTGTGATCTAAGGATTGTAGAGGTGCATAAGGGTCCGCTTAAGCGGCCTATGCACTGGCTCCTTATGGTGGCCGGAATGCCTCTAATTTCAAGATTTATTCATTCATTCAATGTCGACGTCTGCGAGTAAATCTAATCTCACTTATACTCGCGTATTAGTTTACACTGGAACGTATATAGGTACGCATAAAAACGGCCGCCACTGCAACATAATCATGAAAAATAATTCCGTCATTTCTAATATAATATTTTCACATCTTAGTTTACTGTAAATGTTCCGTATAGTACATTTGTAAATGAAATAAACCGTTCAGTTGCCCAATTACACATCTTTCGATGTTCTGAAGTATGCTACAAACACTCTGTAGAAATGATGAACGGAAAGGCCATTTGTTTTCAAATTGAAGATTTCAAGTCGAAGTATGGCAACATCGTATTCGTTAGAAGGTCTGTGATCTTTGGAGTAGGTGAGAAGGAAAAGGGGCGTGGCTTAACAGTTATGTGACTATTTACCTTCTTTGTTAATTTGTTGATAGTATCACAAGTGGAGTATTATAATTTTCAAATCGTGAATTATAAACAGAATTCAAAGCTGTAGTGTAACAAACTTGAAAAACAAACACAAATTTATAAGAATGGTAATAAAACTGATTGTATAAAACTTGAGGAACATCAAGCAAGGCAATGTATATATGTGATTAAATGCTAGTTTTTGGAATATCTGCTTCAAATGCTGATAAATATCCAGCTTATTCGACAGCTCGATTTGGAGACTGAGTTAAGTTGACTCAAAGATTGAACTGTCGGTCACAATATTTGCAATTTCTGAAAAGAACAAATTTAGTCAAACGTGACAAAAATAGAACTATCCAAAAGTCAGCGTTACCAACACTTGTTGCAAAAGTTCCGTGCGAGACTAACAAAAGTTCCGATTTTTCATACCCAAATGAAGTCACATGACTTTTTTGCCCCTTCCCCTTGGGCGTAGCCAGTACTATTGCCTAGGTGAGTATCAAAAGGAAAGTGAGTGCCACAGAATGATAATTGAGAAGCAAAAAAGGTCTTCTGGCCCTCCTATCTAACGTGACATAAAGGGAGACAGGGACAATTCTCAGGTGTTGAACTGTCTTAGTTTCAAATCAATTTATTTTATATAAAAGCAAATAAGTTATATGCGATATGGAGGCGAAGTTTGATTTTTTGTCATTATACCGATCTTTTTCATTTCCCCGAGTAAAGATAACATCATCACGCAGGACAACTAT